GGGAGCTACTTCAGCAGAGAATAGGAGACACCCTGTATTTTTTGAATTATTACTTCAAGATATTTTTTATCCACATATAATTGATATATTTTATATGTATGGCTATATTTGATAAATAATTTATTTAAAATTATATTTTGATTTTATAATTCTGTATAATTATTATTAATATAAGTCTGAAATATATAATTATATTCATTAAGATTATTATAAATTATGTATTCAGGAAAAGTACTTAATTTACTTGTCTTCATATTTGGTATGCCTAAAACAAAAAAAAACTATCTGATACTACTGAGCCAAATATTTAGATGAAATAATGAGTACTTTTAAAATTATAGATAAGTATAACTTGGATGATGGCATATATTTGATGTGTGCATAAATTTAAGTAAGAGTGATTAGTTTAATTCGTTATTACTCTTGTTGTAATCTATTCTTATGATTTTATAATGAATCTTTGTTTGTAACTGAGCCTAAATGTAATTTCTGCGTGATTATTTTTCATAATGAAGAGAGAGAAAATGTTTCTTATATCAAAGAAAATATAACTATTGTATTAAGTACTTCTTCAATTATTTACCAGTGTCAATATAACTTGATATACTTGCAAACGGATATAAATGGCACATGATCAATGATAAATAGCCATAATTTAATTCAATGCTTTTGAGTTTACAATAAAATGTAGATAATATAATTCATCATATATAAAATTGTTATAAAAATCCTATCTAAAATGTTAAAAAAAATGAATTCACTTTAACAAATATATATTGGTGCTATCAGATTGCTATTCTTTATTGTTATAAAATATTTTGTGAAGATAATAGATAACTGTACATAAATACACAGTCTATAATGTATCGAAGTGGCAATCGTGTTGTTTAGCAGATGGCAAAAGCTTTCAACAATGTTCCTTCAGAAAATTCTAAATCTGCGCACAAAATTTGTATTATACAAATATGAAGTGTGTACGCGTATGTACATGCTCTACATCGCTATTATTTGTATCATACATATAAATATTATCTAATATTTTACATTGCAGCTTTCTATTTAATAATAGAATAAATTACAAATGAGGTTTTAATGTGCTCATGTGACACAGAATATAACAAATCTAATGTAAAAACTGAAGATACACAAGTGATATCAAAGAGACTGCATATACCAATGTATCATTAACATTCCAGAGGTCAAACGTGCGGTTCTTATATCAATAGTGACTAGTCCGTCGAATACCAAACAATAAATAGCTCATTTTATTTAAAAAAAAAAAATTGTATTTTGCTACATTCAGCCCTTTGTTACAATCATTAAAATTCTTGAAATGATTGATTTTAAATTTTTCTATACATATTTACAGATGCCATTCTCACATAAATTCTCACCTATTTTTAACAACCAACGATTTACAACGACAGTAATCTCTTTACTTCCTTGAGGCATTCATCGGCTTCTAAGAAAGAATTATTGTCGTCTCTGCTTTTAGCTATTTTTCTTCCTCGTTGACAGGATTTTTTGGCTTCGTCGTATAAACCCTTTTTTAGGAGCACATTTCCTAGATTCACGTGAATCGAACCCAAGTCAACCATATCGGGTAGGTTTTCCCCTATAAACATATTACGTAGCATATTATGCGTTGCAATTAATCATTAGACAAATTATATATCATTACCTATTTTCGCTGCAGCAGACAAATATTTAATAGCTTCATCATATTTTCCTCGTATACAACTAATCGTTCCCAAGTCATTAAGCAGAACTACAGTCTGTTCGTGCTCTTCACCGTTCATCTTTTTACATATGTTATAAGCCTGAAGGAAATAGTTAAAAGCTTCGGTATGTCGAGACTGTGCAAGTAAAAATCGCCCGTACCAGTCGAAGGCCATACCCTGCAGCAGTACAGCGTCTTCGTTGTCAGGATCTTTTTCAACGTGCGATTTTAAGTGCTCCATACAAAATTTATAGCCCTGCTCCGCTTTCCTGAATAAACAAAATAAATATACCTCTTATATTTAATATAGTGTACATACGTGTGATAAAAAGGAGATGTAATGAACTTTTAGTAGAAGTATAATGAGAGAGCACGAGGCTTGGTTGTCACATTTTCAAACGTATCTTTCTGTATGTAATCTTTAAGGATATAATTCTTTATTTATGTTAAATGTCGCGCCTTAAAAAAAAATCAAAAGTAAAGTAAGTAATTCATGGCAGATCACGTTGCTTACTTTGCCTCGCTTAAATGTTCAAATATTTTGGCCATCTTCAGGCTTATGTGGACGACTCGTATGTCATCCTCCGTGGCTCCATTCGACATCAGCCTCTGCAAAACTGATACGAACAAGTTCTCCGCTTTGCGATAATTTCCAGTGTCGAAAGCAAGATTGGCCATTACGTCATAGATATACGTGACAGCGTCGTAATGCTGTACGGTTTGCGCTTGACGCAACGCCACGTGCAGCATTTGCTCCGCCTTGTCACATTCTCCCTTCTACAAAGGGAAAGCAAACGTTGCTGAAACTGTACGAGATTCAAATAAAGATTCGGCATCTGCTATAAATGTCGGTAGTTCGTAATGGCGAAAAATATATATTTAACATTTATACGGGTATTTATTCTTGCATAAACATCAAACACATTTATGATATACTGATCTCAAAATATTTAACCTGTATCAACAGTACAGCTCGTTTGATCGTCATAATGACTTCCGGGACTTCCTCGTCGGTATTCTCGATATCATAAATATAATTTAAAATTAAAGTAGGCAAGGACACGGCGAGAAGCATCCTGGACCTTCTCCCCTGCGGCCTGTGCCCATCGTTGAACCGGCATCTATCTATCCTCGCGCAGAGTCGCGGCGGTTTTACAGAGGTATTTTTATAGACGTGTAGTACATCACGTCGCGCATTCGTCGTCGAGCGAATAAAACTGACATTTGATAACGCGCATCTCGACACACGAGACACCGAATTCAGGCGATACATTTTGACAATCGGACTGTCATGCGTCAAGTGTTCAACACATCAACAGCTGGGAAGCGAGAAGTCTGCACTTCCGAGCTGCACTTTGTTCGTTTCTGCTCTCTCCCTTCAAGGATCTTTAAAGTTTCAAACGCGGAAAGTTCAGCTGGGAAAGACTTTCGACAAATTCTGATTAACTTGTTGTATACTGTTTTGTCAATATGGATAAATATATTGATTTTTTTGTCGCTTATCATGTGGAAAGGTAATCTAGATTAAAAGACAACTAGAAATTTCGTTTCCATACAGCAAAGTCGCTCACATGACAAGTGTGTTCGTTACTACGTATATATACCTTCGCGCACTAGGAGGGGTAGGCCGTGACGTCATGCGCCGCTCCGCGCCGCCGGCGCGGCGGATCGATACGGTGACGGTGACGTAGTAGGCAGTGTAGGCACCTGCGCAGTTCGTACTAGCGGCGCGACCGTTGAAGTTCAACGGTTGAACTCGAAAGCTCCGTACCTCGAAGATCGGCGCGTTTTCGACGTTGTTTCTGGCGATGAGCGGACTTGTAACTTGTTTCCGTCAACGCTCGGAGTAGTGTTACCTGCGTGAGTGACTCAATTATCATTCTTCCGAGGAATTTCGCACAGGTAGGAAGTGTTTGTGCTCCGCGCGCGCTCGTCACTGATGACGTCACCGTGCTTCGTGCTGTTTTCGGAACGCGTTCGTTTCGGTGATTGGCATTCCTGCTTCCTCGTTTCGCGGGCCGCGGGAATAATCGCTACGCGATCGAGTACCGCGCGCCGTGTGCCGAGTGCCGTGTGCCGTGTGCCGTGTGCCGTGTGTGTAAAACAATTTACG